TCATGCCCTCTTCTCATGCTTTCAGTATTTGTTCTAATATTCCAAAAGTTATCTAAAAGAACTTTTTGTTTTTCTGCTAATGATGCTTGAGTACGATACTTTAAAGAAGGATTTCTAACTTCTTGTACTGATATTCCATTATAAAAATAAGTATTTGCTACTAATCGTGCTTGATTACTTATGCTTAATGGATTACCACCATGTGATGGTATACCATTATTTTTGCTGCCAGATGATGATGGTCCAAAATATTGCATACCTGTTTAATGAATAATACAAGATAAGATATCTGCTAATGCATTATCCATACCTTTAATATGCTCAAATATCGGCTTAAATCCATTTCCTGTAATAGAATCAACAAAATTCACCCATCTTCGGGCTGCTTGTTTATTAGTAGTAATTTTATTATAATGAGAAACAATATTTTGACAATCTGTTCTAATAGTAAATATTTCATTATGTAAAAATAATGAAAATGCTTCAAGAGAATTAATGACTCCTAAAATTTCTAAGTCAGTGGCTGGAAGTCTAGCCTGTATATCATTAAATTTTCCTGATGCATATCTACAAATTTTTTCTTCTGATTTTGTTTCTTCTTTATGTTTCTTTTGATATAAAATTCCTGCCCATCCTATTGATGATGCATCTGTTTCAACTATTTTGTAATGATTATCTAATGGTAATGCTAACGGTTTAAGTTGAGTTATATCTTGTTTTATGCTTTGAACTAACTTAATATCTTCACTATTAAAATATTTCTGTCCTGTTGTACTAGTTTTGTTATGTAAAGCTGCAATTTTCCTTCCTAAATCAGGGATAAAACTTCTAGCATAATTTAATAAACTTAAGAATGCTTGTAATTGCTTTTTATCCTCTAACTTATCTGGAAATTCTAACACTTTTTTAGCTATATGTTCTTGTAATTGTATGGTTCCTGACTTAATATACATACCTAAAAATTCTATATCTTGTTTTTCAAGCTCTACTTTATTCCTACTTATAATAATACCATTATTAATAAATTCCTTTATAATAATTTCTAAGTGTTTTCTATGTTCATTTTTATTTTTACTA